GCGTCCGCGGGAAGCTGGCGCAGCACACCTTCCCCGACCAGGGCTCCGACGCCGACAACGTGCTGGCCATTGTGCATGTCGACCTGTGCGGGCCATTCTAGGTGGCTGCCAAGGATGGCAGCCTGTACTTCTTGCTGCTAAAGGACCGTAAGACCCGCTACGTGTGGGTGAGGCCGGTCGCTAAGAAGTCGGATGCGCTGCAGGAATTCGTGCAGTGGCTGGCAGTGACTGAACGGCAGACGAAGAAGTCAGTGTTGATGTTGCTCTCTGACCGGGGAGGGGAGTTCCTCGGGAAGCAGTTCACCGACTTCATGAGCGGCAAGGGGATCATCCTGTCAAACATATATTTACTATAGTCGGTCTAGGCTGTAGTGGGGTAGTCCTTAGAGGGTACAACACTTATGTGTTTCCTACTTGTACCCTTCTCATTTCCTAATTCAATCATTCTTTCGTCTATCTTTCTCACATGGTATAGAGCTAGTTTCGAGAATTTTTTAAAAAGGGCCCACCACTAAAATTCTTCACTGCCTACTTGACGCGCGCGTCGCGCTTTCCCTTCGAGGCCCGTCGCGGCCCCTGCGCCCGCCCTTCGAGCCTGTGCCCGCCTCGTAAGGCCCCTTAAGGCCTCGTTAGGCCCCGTAAGGCCCCTTTTGGCCCCGTTTAGGGCACGGATTAAGGCCCCGTAGTGCCCCGTAAGGCCCCGTAAGGCCCCGTCAGGCCCCGTTCGGCCCCGTTTAAGGCCCCATTAGGCCCCGACAGGCCCCGTTAGAGGCCCCGTACGGCCCCGTCAGGCCCCATTTGGCCCTGTTAAGGGCGCGGATTACGGCCCCGTAAGGCCTCGTTAGCCCCGTAAGGCCCCGTCAGGCCCCGTTCGGCCCCGTTTAAGGCCCCGTTAGGCCCCCACAGGCCCCGTTAGAGGCCCCGTACGGCCCCGTCAGGCCCCGTTAGAGGCCCAGTACGGCCTCGTCAGGCCCCATTTGGCCCCGTTTAAGGCCCCGTAAGGCCTGTCAGGCCCCGTTATAGGCCCCGCAAGGCCCCGTTCTCGGCCCCGTACGGCCGAGTTATAGGCCCCGTCAGGCCCCGTTATGGGCCCCGTACGGCCCCGTACGGCCCCGTTATAGGCCCCGTCAGGCCCCGTTATAGGCCCCGCACGGCCCCGTTATAGGCCCCGTACGGCCCCGTTATAGGCCCCGTCAGGCCCCGCTATAGGCCCCGTTCGGCCCCGTTATAGGCCTCGTCAGGCCCCGTTATAGGCCCCGTTCGGCCCTGCTCCTGAACTGCCCCGGCCCTGCTTCTGCACTGCCCCGGCCCTGCTCCTGAACAGCCCCGGCTCTGCCCCGGCCCTGCCCCGGCCCTGCCCCTGAACTGCCCCGGCCCTGGCCCGGCTCTGCCCTGGCCCTGCCCCGGCCCTGCTCCTGAACTGCCCCGGCCCTGCCCCGGCCCTGCTTCTGCACTGCCCCGGCCCTGCTCCTGAACTGCCCCGGCTCTGCCCTGGCCCTGCCCCGGCCCTGCTCCTGAACTGCCCCGGCCCTGCCCCGGCCCTGCTTCTGCACTGCCCCGGCCCTGCTCCTGAACTGCCCCGGCTCTGCCCCGGCCCTGCCCCGGCCCTGCCCCGGCCCTGCCCTGAACTGCCCCGGCCCTGGCCCGGCTCTGCCCATGCCCTGCCCCGGCCCTGCTCCTGCACTGCCCCGGCTCTGCCCCGGCCCTGCCCCGGCCCTGCCCCTGAACTGCCCCGGCCCTGGCCCGGCTCTGCCCTGGCCCTGCCCCGGCCCTGCTCCTGAACTGCCCCGGCCCTGCCCCGGCCCTGCTCCTGAACTGCCCCGGCCCTACCCCGGCCCTGCCCCGGCCCTGCGCCCTGCCCCGGCCCTGCTCCTGGACTGCCCCGGCCCTACCCCGGCCCTGCCCCAGCCTCTCCCCTGGTAAGAGCGCCGTGCTGCCAAGCCACACCGTCCTGCCGAGCTGCGCCGCCCTACCTAGCCTGCTTAGCCGAGTTCCACTGCTGCTACTGCTAGCCTGCTGCTTCCCCTGTCATGGCTAGTCTCAATGTTCTTACCTTTGATGCTGAGGGTCGGGCTATTGACTTTGAGGTCTGGCTAGATGATCTGCAGCTTTTCCTACAGTGCGATAGCAAGGATGGTCTCTCACTGTTCGATCTCACTTCTGGCGCCTCTCCTGCCCCTACTGCTGATGCTGACAGTACTGTTCGCTCGCAGTGGCTCACGCGCGATGCTGCTGCTCGTCTTGCTGTGCGCAACCACCTGCCGTCTACTGAGCGCGCGCACTTTAGTCAGTACAAGAGTGCTAGGGCTCTGTACGACGCTGTAGTTGCACGCTACTCCTCCCCTGCCACTGCTGCCCTCAGCCGCCTCATGCTACCGTACCTTTTCCCTGACCTTGCTGCCTTTGCCACTGTCGCTGACCTAGTTGCTCACCTTCGCACTAGTGACACCCGCTACCGCGCTGCCCTTCCCACTGAGTTCTGTGCCAAGAACCCCCCCCCCATGTACATCACCCTTTACTACCTAGTCACCCGCCTCCCTGACTCTCTTTCTTCAGTCAGGGACCACTTTCTCTCCCTTTGCCCCACCGAGCTGACTGTCGACTTGCTAGAGGAGTGCCTTGCTACAGCTGAGAAGAGTATCTTAGCTGTTGGTGCTTCTCGCGGTGACCGTCGCACCCCCTTCTTTGAGGGGTGTTCCCCTTTCCCCCTTCTCCCCTCTGTTGCCTCTGCTGCTGCTGTCGACCTCGTTGGCACTGAGGAGGTCGGCGCTGCGTCTGCCCCTAGTGGGCGACGCCGCACTGGCAAGGGCAAGGGAAGCAGGGGTGGTGGTGGGGGCGGTGGAGGCAGCGGTGGAGGAGGTGGAGGAGGTGGAGGTGATGGTGGGGGTGGTTCCGGGAGTGGGGGCGTAGGTGGCGGCAGTGGCGGCCGTGGCGGCGGTGGTGGAGGAGGTGGCGGCGGCGGCGGCGGTGGTGGAGGTAGCGGAGGAGGTGGTGCTGGTCGCGGTGCGGCCACGCAGCGTGGAGGCCTTGGTGGCAGCCAGCGTCCGCAGCAGCTGCGCACCCGTGAGACCCCGTCTGTTCAGCAGCTTCGTGAGTGGTACGCTGGCCGTGGGAGGTCTGGGGGTGCAGGTCCCTGCGCGTACGTTCTTCGCACCGGCACTCGTAGTGGGGAGGTGTGTGGTCTCCCACACACCACGCAGCGCTGCTTTGGCCGCTTGACTGACGCTTGGCGTACCCAGTTTCGTGACGCTGTTGATCTTCCTCGTTGGCATGATCTGCTTCTGCAGAATGTGCCTATCTTTGATCTAGATTTTGATGCTATCCTTGCTGCCATGTATGCTCTTGCTGATATTACTGAGGGTGACTGTTACCTGCGTGTCCCGCCCGACCCGGGCACTGTCGCTGCTGCTCTAGGTGCTAGTGCGGCTGCTGCTCTAGGTGCTAGTGCGTCTGCTGCTCCAGGTGCTGGTACGTCTTCTCCCTCTGGTACTGCACCTACTGAGTCCTTTCACACCTTCACACTTGACTCTGGTGCTTCGCGCTCTTTCTTTAGAGATAGCACCACGCTCACGCCGCTCCGTCGGCCTGTTGCGGTCTCCCTTGCTGACCCATCCGGGGGACCAGTCCTTGCACACTCCTCCACGGTTCTACCGTGTCCTGCGGCCCCGTCGGGCTTGCTGTCGGGACTCCACCTCCCCTCGTTCTCTACGAACTTGGTGAGTGGAGCTGACATCCAGGACGCGTGGGTTGACCAGTTCACCCCTGGAGGTCAGCGTGTGACCCACTGCACTTGCTCTCGGACGGGCCGCCACCTGGCCACGTTCACCCGTCGGCCAGGGTCGAGTCTGTACACACTGACTACTGCGCCTCCTCCGGTCCCTGCGTCTGGTCAGGTAGCTGCGTCCAGTCAGGTGTTTGCTGCTGCGTCCAGGTCTAGTCCTGTGTCTGCCCCCTGCTCGTGTCGTCCTCTGGCGCACGAGACTCTCCTCTGGCACCACCGCCTTGGTCACCCCTCCCTGCCTCGTCTTCAAGGTATGGCCTCCCGTGCTCTTGTCTCTGGACTCCCCAGGTCCCTCCCTCCCCTTCCTCCGGGGCCTGCCCCCACCTGTGTTCCTTGTGTCGAGGGCCGGCAGCGCGCCGCTCCTCACTCCTCCTCGTTTCCTCCGACTGAGGCCCCTCTGCAGACTCTTCACATGGACGTGTGGGGCCCAGCCCGCGTTCGTGGACAGGGTCACGAGCGTTACTTCCTGCTGGTCGTTGACGACTACTCGCGTTACACCACAGTCTTCCCCTTGCGCAGCAAGGGTGAGGTCACTGAGGTGTTGATCGACTGGATCCGCGGTGCTCGTCGCCAGCTTAGTGAGAGTTTCGGCTCCGACCTTCCTGTTTTGCGTCTGCACTCAGACAGAGGCGGGGAGTTTTCCTCCGACCTTCTGAGAGCCTTCTGTCGTTTGGAGGGCATCCGCTAGACGTTCACGCTTCCGGCCTCCCCGCAGCAAAATGGGATTGCTGAGCGCCGCATTGGCATGGTCATGGATGTCGCTCGTACGTCCATGATCCATGCGGCTGCTCCCCACTTTCTATGGCCGTTCGCGGTTCAGTACGCTGCGCATCAGATCAACCTTCAGCCTCTTGTCTCCTTGCCGGAGACCACACCTACTCTGCGGTGGACGGGGAAGGTTGGCGATGCGTCCGCGTTCCGTGTCTGGGGATCTCGAGCTTTTGTCCGCGATACTACAGCGGACAAGCTGTCCTCCCGTGCCGTTCCCTGTGTCTTCCTTGGCTTCCCTCCTGACGCACCCGGGTGGCAGTTCTACCACCCCAGCTCGCGTCGTGTTCTGTCCTCGCAGGACGTCACGTTTGACGAGTCGGTGTCGTACTACCGTCTCTTTCCCTACCGCACTGCCTCTCCCCCTCCCCCGCCGCTCTTCCTTGCCCCAGGTACTCCTCCGGTAGACCCCCTCCCCCCCCAGGGTCCTGCCCCCTCAGGTGTGTCCCAGGTAGACCCTGCCGAGCCGGTCGAGGTAGCTGTCGACTCAGGTGCTGCTAGGGGTGCTGACCCTGCGGGTGCGGGGACTGGGGGTGCTGAGACTGGGGGTGCTGTGTCTGGGGGTGCTGAGACTCGGCGTGCTGAGCCTGGGGGTGTGGCGCCTGAGGGTACTGTGTCTGGAGGTGCTGAGCCTGCGCGTGTTGAGTCTGGAGGTGCTCTGGGTGTCCCGTCGCGGCGGGAGCCCCTCTCTCCACAGCGGCTTCGTGAGTGGTACTCTCGACGCTGTCGGGTTGCTGCTGGAGGTGCTGCTGGTGCGGGTGCTGCTGGAGGTGCTGGCGCTGCTGGAGGTGGTGCTGGTGCTGGAGCTGCTGGAGGTGCTGCTGGTGCTGGAGCTGCTGGAGGTGCTGCTGGTGCTGGAGGTGCTACTGGAGCTACTGGAGGTGCTGGCACTGCTGGAGGTGGTGCTGGTGCTGGAGCTGCTAGAGCTGCTGGAGCTGCTGGAGGTGCTGGTGCTGCTGGAGGTGGTGCTGGTGCTGGAGCTACAGGAGGTGCTGCTGGTGCTGGAGCTGCTGGAGGTGCTGCTAGGACTGGAGACCCTGAGGCTGAGGGTACCGGTTCTGTCTCTGCTGTTTCTCGAGGCGCTGCGCGGCCGCGGCCGTACTACGTTCCGCTTCTTCAGCAGGTTCTTGGCTCCCCACCTTCTCCTAGTCCACCGCCTGTCCCGTCTCAGTCGCAGTTACAGCCGGCCTCTCCGCTGCCTGGTCCTTCTCCTTACTCTGGTCCGACTAGAGGTCTTACGGAGCGTCGTGAGCCTGAGTCGCGTCCTGTGTCGCCTGCGTCTCGTTCTGCGTCGCCTGTCCGTTCTGTTCGCGCTGGTCGTGTTTCGCGTCCGCGTCTTCCTCCTGTCCCTGGCACTCACTCTATGACTCTGCGTCCTTCCACTGCTCTACAGCATGTCCCTCTGCCCTCTCCTCCTGCGTCCTCTCTTCCTGACGGTCCGGACCCGGAGTCTGACTCCCTTCGTGCTGCTAGTCCTACTGTCACGCGCTTTCTGGCCACTGCTGTCACTGACCCCCTGTTTGAGTTCTCTGCTGCGTCTGCTCTTGTTGCTGAGCTTGTTGACTTTGCTGCAGCCTGTCGCCTAGACTACGCCGCTAGTCTTGTTGCTGAGTCTGCGTCTGTGTCTGTCTGTCCTCCGTCCGTCGGGGGTGAGTGTGCTCTTGGCACGGACGTCCTTGAGGACAGGCAGGAGGACCTTGAGTGCTTTGCTGCTGCTTCACCTCATCTCGTGTCCATGCTGCTTGCCCCTGAGGGAGACCCGGATGCACTAGACATCCCGACCCCGCGCTCTTACGCAGAGGCGATAGAGGGTCCCTACTCCTCCCAGTGGCAGGCAGCCATGGACGCAGAGATGGCTTCCTGGAAGTCCACAGGCACCTACGTAGACGAGGTTCCCCCACCTGGGGCGAACATCGTCAGTGGCATGTGGATCTTCAGGGTGAAGCGGCCGCCGGGTTCTCCGCCTGCCTTCAAGGCGCGTTACGTTGCACGTGGCTTCAGTCAGCGACAGGGAGTTGACTTCTTTCAGACCTTCTCCCCTACCCCGAAGATGACCACTCTTCGGGTACTGCTGCACGTTGCTGCTCAGCGTGACTACGAGCTCCACTCGCTTGACTTCAGCACAGCCTTCCTACAGGGCAGCCTGCACGAGGAGATCTGGCTGCGCCGCCCACCTGGCTTCACTCGGTCGTTTCCTGCTGGTACCCAGTGGAGCCTCCGGCGGCCAGTCTACGGTCTCCGCCAGGCGCCCCGTGAGTGGCACGACATGCTCAGGACGACTCTTGCTGCTCTTGGTTTTGCTCCTTCCACTGCTGACCCTTCTCTGTTTCTACGCACTGACGCTACTCTGCCGCCGTTCTACGTTCTTGTGTACGTAGACGACCTTGTCTTTGCTACTGCTGACACGGAGGCACTCGCCCACGTGAAGTCCGAGCTGCAGAAGAGACACACTTGCACAGACCTGGGTGAGCTCACAAGCTATTTTGGCTTGCGGATCACCCGGGACAGAGCACAGCGCACCATTACCTTGACTCAGTCACACATGGTGCAGCAGGTCCTTCAGCGCTCCGGCTTTACCTACTCCTCGCCACAGTCCACTCCTCTGCCTACCGGTCACTCGCTCTCAGCTCCACCTTCGGACGAGTCCGTAGAGCCGAGTGGCCCGTATCCAGAGCTTGTGGGCTGCCTCATGTACCTGATGACTTGCACACGACCTGACCTCGCATACCCTCTCAGCCTTCTGGCTCGCTACGTGGCTCCCGGCAGGCACCGAAAGGTGCACTGGGATGCTGCGAAGAGGGTGTTGCGATACTTGTGCAGTACATCGGGCATGGGGCTCGTGCTTGGAGGACGGGGTCCAGTTGTCCTCACTGGACACGCGCAGACGCTTCTTGGGTTGACGACTTGGGTACGCAGCGGTCGTCACAGGGTTACACCTTCAGCCTTGGCTCCGACTCTGTTTCTTGGCGGTCTACCCGCTCTTCTTCTGTTCTCAGCTCCAGTTGTGAGGCTGAGATCTACGCTGGGGCCATGGCTGCACAGGAGCTTCGCTGGCTCACCTACCTGCTGACCGACTTGGGAGAGGCGCCTCGTTCTCCTCCAGTTCTGTACGTCGACAACAAGGCCATGCTGGCCTTGTGTCAGGAGCACAGACTGGAGCACAGAACGAAGCACATTGCTCTGCGCTACTTCCTTGCTCGAGAGTTGCAGCAGCGTGGCCAGCTTCGTCTTGCTTACGTGGCCTCTCAGGCCAACACTGCTGATGTCTTCACCAAGGCACTTCAGCCTTGTGATCATCAGCGTTTCTGTACTGTGTTAGGCCTTGTACCTACTGTGCCTCACTTGTTGACTTCTTGACTCTGCTTGTACTGTACTCTATATACTTATACTTGCATGCTTACACTTGCTAGGTTGTGTTCACTGTATTGTTTTCTTTCCTTTATATAACTCTGCATGTGAACTGGCCTTCTGGCCCTTTGCTTGTGCTCAGACTGTGTGGTGACTTTGTGATCCACCCTGAGTTTGCTTTGTCTTTCTTGACTGGTCTTGTGACCCCTTGTTCTCCCCCACTTTGCCTATGGGGGTGTGTCAAACATATATTTACTATAGTCGGTCTAGGCTGTAGTGGGGTAGTCCTTAGAGGGTACAAGACTTATGTGTTTCCTACTTGTACCCTTCTCATTTCCTAATTCAATCATTCTTTCGTCTATCTTTCTCACACATCCACGACCTGAACTGTCCCTACACCCCGCAGCAGAACGGCATGGCGGAGCGCGAGATGAGGACGGTGGTGGAGTCGGTGCAAACGATGCTGCTACACATGGGCGTGCAACACCACTGGTGGCACCTTGCTCTACGGCAGACCGTCTGGGTCCGCAACTGCCTGGAGCGGTCGACGCTGCAGCCGGGGATGACGCCATACCAGTTGCTGACCGGGAAGAAGCCCGACTTGTCACTGGCACGGGTATGGGGCTGCATGGCGCTGTTCTTGGTCCCCGAGCAGCAACGTGGTGGAAAGCTGAAGCCGAAGCCCAGGTGGGGCATTCACCTCGGCGTGTCGGAGGAGAGTAAGGGCTAGGAGCTCCTCGACATCGCCGACAACCGTATAGTCACCACGTCGGACATGGTGTTCTACGAGAACATGTCGCTAGAGGTGTGGAAGTCGGAGCACGGGCCGGCGTCGGGCCGGACGCCGACTATCCCGCTGACGGACACCTCGACGGTGACACTCCCTCTACTCGCCGAGGTTGGTGAGCCTGCTGCTGAGGACGTCGAGGATGTCCTCTCTCCCTTCCCCACCCCTGCCCCCCGTGCCCCTCCCCTTGTGGCCGACCTGCGTGGGCTGACTCAGGTATCGGCCTCCGGCGATGAGGGGAGAAGTGGGGCGTCGCCTGTGGCGCCGACCAAGAGCATCGCCGGTGGCCGACGTGACGTCCAGCAAGTCGACGTGAGAGTGAAGTCGATGCCGCCAGGGGAGAGCAGGCCGAGGAAGTGCAGCCGACGGTGGTGAAGTCGGCAAAGGGGGCAAGAACAAGGCAGCAGCTGACAGGGGAGCAGGCAGCAGCCAAGCCGACCAAGAAGCAGTCCGCAACCACGCAGTCGAGAGAGGAGCCGACCACAGGGGAGAAGTCGGCAGGGAAGCGGGCTGAGGTGCAGCAGAACGATGAGGGCAGTGAAGCTGGTGACGATGGAGGGGACGCCGAGGAGTCCACCGACAGTGACGTGGTGGAGGTCCAGCGGGGACCACGGCAATCAGGCCAAATTCGGAGGCCGCCCGACTTCTACGTACCGGGTGCCTTCACCGCGGTGTACGACGAGGTCGATGACGACCTGCAGTACGACAATGCCGAGGAGGACGAAGACTTTCCGGAGCTCGACCCTGAGCACCGTTGGGACATCTCGACGATGACGGTGAAGGAGGCGTTGGCGAGCTGGAAGGGCAAGGCGGTGAAGGCCGCCATGGAGGAGGAGATTCGCAGCCTCGTCGGCATGGGAACGTGGGAGCTGGTCGAACGCCCGCCAGGAGTGAACATCATGAAGAACCGGTGGGTGCTGATGACGAAGTACCACATCGACGACACCGTCGAGCGCGAGAAGGCAAGGCTGGTCGTGAAGGGCTTCACGCAGGTGTATGGCGCCGACTACGACGAGGCGTATGCGCCGGTGAGAAGCTACGTCACGCTGAGGATCTTCCTCAGCATCGTTGCCGTCCTCGACCTCAACCTGATGCAGATCGACATGAAGAACGCCTTCCTGCAGAGCAAGCTCGACCGGGTGCTGTACATGTACTAGCCGGACTACTTCAACGACGGGACCGGCCGGGTGTGCAAGCTACTGAAGAGCCTCTACGGCCAGAAGCAGTCGCCGTTGTTGTGGTACAGGGCTCTCGACGGTGTGCTGCTGGGCACTAGCTGGAAGAAGAGCCAGGTCAACATGGCGCTCTACTTCAAAGTCGGCGACGACAAGGTGACCTGCTGGGTGCTGGTCTATGTCGATGACCTGCTCGCTGCCAACAGCACTGCAGCGATGCTGAAGGAGCTGAAGGAGGTGCTAAAGGCCGCCTTCGAGCTGCGGGAGATCTCGCCGGTGCAGAAGTACCTCGGGCTGGAGATCGTGCGCGACAGGTCGGTGAGGAAGCTGTGGCTGCACCAGCAGGGCTACGCCGACAAGCTGCGTAGGCGGTTCCTCGACGAGGAGCAGAATGGGCGCACCCCGAAGACGGCGGTCTCCGTCAACGCCTATGCCATACTCACCTTCGATGATGAGGAGGCACAGGTGCGCCAGGAGGAGGAGTACCGGCAGAAGGTCGGGTCGCTGGAGTTCGCGGCGACGACGACGAGGACGGACATTGCCTTCGCCTGCAGCAAGCTGGGGAGCGGCTTCACTGTGAGGAGCGACCAGCACTGGTGCGAGGTCGACCGCTGCCTCACCTACCTCGCCAACACCCGTGACACCGCCCTGGAGTTCGGCGGTGGAGCAGAGTCGCTGAAGCTGGTCGGCTACGTGGACGCTGACGACGAGCACGGGCGGTTACGTGTTTGTCTTTGGAGGGGCCGCCGTCTCTTGGTCGAGCAAGCGCATCAAGTGCGCGACGCTGACGTCGACCGAGTCGGAGTATGTGGCGGCAACCGAAGCCGGCAAGGAGGGACGTCGCCTTTGCTTCCTCCTTGCAGAATTCCGGCAACTGGACGCCGGGACGCCGACTGTCCTCCTGGTGGACAACATGTCGGCCATCACAGTCGCCGAGGGCATGGGGTTGACGGGCAACCTCAAACACATGGATTGACGACAAGCCTGGCTGCAGCACATGGTGAAGCGCGGAAAGTTTTCACTGAGGTACATTCCGACCGCTGAGCAGCCAGCTGACTTTCTGACGAAGGCGCTGCACTACCCGGCCTTGAATTGGTGCTCCGTTGCAATCGGCCAGGTGCGCCTAGTCAACGTGGGCGACGGTGACAATGACGTGCAGCAGTAGGTGCCATGCCCTCTTGCATGGCTGGTGCGCTGACCGGCGTGCTGTGTGTTGAGTGCACGCCAACGAGCTATTCTCCAAGTAGTGCTGCCGTCTGGGCTGGGGGCCCAAGCGTGAACGCGTCAGGCGAGTGTCAACGGGAGTTGTTGTTCGCCCCGTCCTCGATTGGTCGGAGTTGACCTCGGGGCCGGGTGTGAGGAGTGCAGCCGACCTGCAACAGTGGGCGAACTGGTCGACGGGCCTGGTCGACCTGCACAAGGGCCAATGCAAGGGCGCCGACTTTGGGAGGGCGCCAACTTCGGCTGGTCGACTTGGGAGGTCGACCAGTGGAGGGCGTCGACTTGGGTGACGCCGACCAGGGGAAGCCGACTGGGTGTGGTCGGCTGACATGTGTACTGGTCGACTTGGAGTTGGTCGACCAGGTGGGTTGTCGACCTGGAGTTGGTCGACCAGGGGAGTGGTCGACCTGGTGTGGTCGACATGAGGTGGTCGTTGACCTGGGCGGTCGACAGGCCTGGGATGACACACATGGTCGACATGGTTGCCTGGTTGACCAGGTTACCCGGACGACGAGGTCTGCGAGGTTCGCGACTGTCGCCCAGGTAGATTGGTAAAGTTGACATGCGGTTCGGTGGCACGTGGTCAACAGGACTCCTCAGGTGCAACCGTCAACATGTGGTTGACTTGGCACCTGCGCGATGTGCGTGGCGGTGCATGTCGTCACCGTCACTTTGCACCTGCGAAGTAGGTGCGCGCACATGAGCAAGGGTGGTGACCTGTGGTGGCCTGTTATTAGTGTGCTGGCACGCAAGCTTTGCAGGTCGACTGAGGACGCCTGAGTTCGACCAGCTGCAAAGTCGCCTTCGTGCTGAGCTGGTGGTCAACTTGCATGCTAGGCTTCTGATGTACACTACCTTGCCAATCTAGTTGCTACCCATTGTTCTCAACTTTTGCTAAAAAAACTCTTGCGGTTTTGCCCTGTGAACGCACAAGTGCTAGAGAACGACTACGTGAATGAACGCAGAGATCCCTCCTACCCCGTGCCTAGCCCGTAGTCTAGCTCCTGTTGATAGAGTTATCTTCGCAAGAGCGAGTGACCGGTAGGCAGAGGAGTGGACTGTGGCGAGGAGTACCGAAAGCCGAAGCGCTGAAGGACCTGGTGCACCATGTGTGATTGAGTCAGGGTAATGGTGCGCCGTGCTCTGTCCCGGGTGATCTGCAAGCCAAGATAGCTGCGCTGCTCACCCAGGTCAGTGCAGGTGTGTCTCTTCTGCAGCTCCGACTTCACAAGGGCCAGTGCCTAAGTGTCAGCAGTGGCAAAGACGAAGTCCTCGATGTACACGAGGACGTAGAACGGCGGCAGCGAAGTGTCGGTGCGCAGAAACAGCGACGGGTCAGCAGTCGAAGGAGCTAACCCAAGAGCCGCAAGCATCATCCTCAGTGTGTCGTGCCACTCGCGAGGCGCCTGGCGGAGACGGTAGACTGGCCGCCGGAGGCTCCATTGGGTACCTGCAGGAAACGACCCAGTGAAGCCTGGTGGGCGGCGCAGCCAGATCTCCTCGTGCAGGCTGCCTTATAAGAAAGCTGTGCTGAAGTCAAGAGAGTGCAGCTCGTAGTGACGCTTAGTGGCGACGTGCAGCAGAACTCGAAGAGTGGTCATCTTTGGGGTAGGGAAGAAGGTATGGAAGAAGTCAACTCCCTGTCGCTGACAAAAGCCTCGTGCAACGTAACGAGCCTTGAAGACAGGCGGAGAACCCGGCGACCGCTTCCAGGATGCCATCTCTGCGTCCATGGCTGTCTGCCACTGAGAGGAGTAGGGACCCGTAATCGCCTCTGCGTAAGAGCGCGGGGTCGGGATGTCTGGTGCATCCGGGTCTTCCTCAGG